GCATACACATAAAGGAAAAGAACAAAGCCTAATTTCAAGTACCTTCAAAAATAGTGAAGTTATTTAAATTGACATAAGGAAAGAAAAAAAAAACCTTTAGAAAGACAGCTATTGCCTGTTTCATGGAATTCAATAAAAAAAAAGGGATTATATTTTACCATATTCGACCATTATCAACACCATTCAACCCAATCTTATGACCACAATCAGATATACGAATGTTTGGACAGACATTTCCATCTGAATCTCTGATCTGGGCTATAAATGCATGAACCCCTTGATTTTTCCCATCAATATTAAGCTGGGAAAACACTATTGTGTGTGTAGCATGCTGCACAGCAATTAAGGGAAAGAATGTCAATTTTTTTAGGCTAAAGCAGCAACCAGGAAAATAGCAAAATAGAAATCAAAAAAGCTAATTTTGGAACATAAAAGAAGAATCTTACATTAGCTGCTCCGCCAATCCAGTACTTCTGAGCTGATTCACATGGTGTGTTAATAACAAACTCTCCAGTATTTGAATCATATGTGGTTATTGTTTCAATGCCTCGGACCTAGAAATAGAAAGCCGGAAAAAAATTAAGGAAACTAACAAAAAAGGATGAAATCCACAAATAGGCCAAACGCCCAAAAAAAAATTCTTAAACTGCCTTACATTACTTCCATGCCCCAACTCCGTCATTGCAAAGCAACCCTTGACCTTATAATTTTCAGTGTCCTTCAACCACTTCTCATGATGGCGCTTTGTGCCAAAAAACTGAACTGCACCACCCCTAAAATACGTTGAGGAGAGAGAACCTAATTGATAAGTAAATTATTTGGCAAATTCTTTTCCAAATTTCCCAACTCAACGTAGATAATTATTATTTGATATATAACTCTACAAGCCTAGCCAATTTTAATCAACGAGCAATATTGTCATGGATATCAGATAAACACCAAAAATTACACATATTTCCAACAATTAACATACCACAGAAAGAAATGCACCCCAATCTTGATAGCAAGTGAATGATCAAACATCCCAATAACCTCCAAGAACGAAAACTTCCTCAGCTCTGATTCAACCCCTTTCCCAGTAAGCCATCCTTCAAAAACCCCACAATCCAACAAATACCCAATTCTTTTCATGGTCATCTCTCTCTGCTGCTCCATTGACTGATTATAGTCAGGCGACACAAACAGTTTCCCACCCCTTTCTTTGGAACAAAACAGCTTGCTCTGTATCATGAGGCCATACAACCAGTCCCGATCCGCGAAATTGTGANTTATAGTCAGGCGACACAAACAGTTTCCCACCCCTTTCTTTGGAACAAAACAGCTTGTTCTGTATCATGAGGCCATACAACCAGTCCCGATCCGCGAAATTGTGGTTGTCCATGAGTTCTCTCATTGATCTGGTGTCGAACTGCGAGGTCTCGGCGAGTTCTGGAGGAGAATACTGGAGGCATATGGAGGGTTCGATAGAAGATGATGGTGAGGAAAGAGAAGGTCGGTGGAGGTGTCTATTTAGTATTTGGGTTCGAAATTTGACTCGATCCATTGTAGAAGATGATGAAGAGGCCACTGTTGAGAGCTTGAGAATTAGAAATCCACGGTGTTTCCTTGTGTGTGTACGATGGGAACCAGAAGTAGCAGAAGAGACTTGGGAATGGAAGAATTTTTTTTATTTTGGGTAAGTAGGGAATGGAAGAAGTTAAAAGATTTGTGTGTTTTGGGTGGGGAAAGTGATATAAAATTGGAAGGTCGGTAACCTACGCGCGTAGATCATTCGTTGGGCACGCGACACGGACTTTCTCTTTTGGTCTGAGAAACAATTATAATGCAGTGTGAAGCGTGTAAAGATGTAGAAATTTAGGAACGTTAGTCGTGTAATTCTTCTAAACGGTGAGCACCCTCGCACGAGCAAATTTTCCATGAATTTCCGTTGTTATTTTATAAAATTTGTATTGTAAATTTAATTTTTTAATTTACGCATTAGACTAATTCGCATTTTTCCTTACTTATGTATTTATTTGTTATTACTTAAATTTTTATTTAAGAAATACCGATCCAAGCCTAGAGATACATATTTGGTGGACCAGGCCCAACTTATGCTATGAGCTCAGTTTAAATTAAAAGTTCAACTTATAAATATCCTGTATCCAGTCCAATGGGGTCCACACCCGGTCAAGCTCGCTAAGGGAATAAACAGGGTCATCCAAGAGTCTCATTCACACGCCTTGTAAATAGTCAACTCTTACGTTATCATTTGACCGAATCTTATAGCGAATACTGTAACTGCCTCATCCGTTGAGAAGATGGTGTCAACTCCACCAGATTAGTCATTTAGTTACTAATAACTCACCTCAATCTGTTATGAGACAATTATAAATTGTAAGTCCCGCCAACACTTGGTGGGCATCGCATTCACATCTCTCCTATCTCTCTCAGCTTGTAACTCTCTGCTCTCCCTACACACTTGAAGTAATAAAATACTTCAGTAACCCTAGTCATTTAAAGTGGACGTATGTCACATTAACCGAACCACTATAAATCATTATCTTACTTTTTGTCTCCATCTCTCACTTTTTAATTATTACATTTATTACTGCTCATTTAACAGATGGTGTACAAGCTTAATTTGTGCATCATCAGTTTGGCGTCGTCTGTGAAAATGACAAAATTCTCATCTAAGTACATCTCTTATTGTACCTATGGCGATCACCACCAGATCCATAAATTAACCTGAAGATAATCTACCACGAGGGGAGGAGATTGCTTCTCCACCAATCAATCATGTTCCAAATGCACAATAGATACTGGATACAACACAATAACTCGTAACTTAGAATCAACAAATCCTGCAACTGATGCTCGCTAGACAACAAGGCGGAGCACAGCCTGGAGGACATCAAGCCAGAGGAGCTCCACGCCCTGAGGGTCAAGGAGCTCCCCACTTGGACACCCCTTTAGGAGCCCCTACCCCACTTGGGCGCCCCCCTTTTGGAGCCCCCTTAGGCGCCCCACACAAGGGAGCCCCTCCTCAGAACTATGAGGCAACTTCGCCTCCTCCTCCAGCTCCCCCTTCCCATGATGGAGACTCTCATTTCCAAGAGGATGATGGCAAGAATAAAAGTGTGGAGCACGGGAGTCATTTCCATGACAATTCCAAAGGAGCCCCAAATCATTGGAATGAAAAAATCAAAGAAGTACAGAATTAACTGGACGACATCTTCAATGCCATAAAGGCGAAAGGACTAGAAACAGTGGAGTACCTCGTAAGGCGAACTGATACACCTTTTGTGCCAAATGTAGGGAACTACCCATTTCCCCAAAAGTTTAAAATGCCACCAATAGAAACTTTAGACGATACAAAGGACTCACTTGATCATTTCGAAACCTACAAGACCTTAATGCATCTACACAACGTCCTCGATGAAATTATGTGTAGGGCATTCTCAACTACTTTGAAAGGATCAGTGTGACAATGGTTCGCCAAACTCACTCCAGCTTCCATAGGCTCCTTTGCCGAACTAACTAGATCCTTTGTGACACAATTCATTGATGGACACCGTTAGCAAAAGCCTATCACTCATCTGCTTAGTATAAAACAAGATCGAGATAAGAGTTTAAGGAGTTACCTCACCCGTTTTAACGAGGAAGTCCTCCAAATCAAGGAGCCCAATGACAAAGTCGTCATAACCGTCTTTCTGGGAAGCCTCCGCTCATCGAGTTTTCTCTTTTTAGTAATGAAGCGACCACCAAAGAACATGCCAAAATTATTGGTAAAAGCTAAAAATATATGAATGCTAAGGAAATCAACAAGTTCAGGCGAGATGAATCATCTCACGGATATCCAAAAGCTTGACCTATCTCTGCTTTGCTCTCAAGTAGATAGCCTATGTCTCCAACTCAGCAGCATTCTCGCGGGTCGCCAAAAGCTTGGTTTATCTTTACTCTGCTCCTAAGCAGGCAGCTCATGTCTCCAACTTAGCAGCTCTCTTGCAGGTCATCAAAAACTTGTTCTTTCTCTAATCTTCTCTCAAGCAAGCAACCTATATCTCCAACTGAGCAGCTCTCTAGCGGGTCGCCAAAAGTTTAGCCTCTACTCTACTCTGAAACAGACAGCCTATATCTCCAACTGAGCGGCTCTATCGCGGGTCGCCAAAGTTTGGCCTATCTCTACTTTACTCTCAAGTAGGCAACCCATGTCTATAGCTAAGCAACTCTCTCCCCGGTAGCCAAAAGCTTGGCATTTGCTCTACTCTCAAGCAGACAACCTATCTCCAACTTAGCGGCTTTCTCGTAGGTCGCCAAAAGCTTGGTCTCTGCTCTGCTCTCAAGTAGGCAGCTTATATCTCTATTTGAGCGGCTCTCTCGCGGGTCGCTAAAAGTTTGACCTACCTCTGTTCTGCTCTGCTCTCAAGCAGGCAATCTAAACCTCCATCTTAGCGACTTTCTCATAAGTTGCCAAAAGCTCGGTCTCAAAAGGTAAAGCTCTCTCACGAACTATCCTCAAACTCTTTCTTTGCTCTCATGCAAACAATTCGTCTCTCTCTTTAGATAATCATGTTAGATATTTTGATGTTCAAATAACATTATTTTTTTCATCTGTAGGCCCACCTTTGAAACTTAGGTCATCTGTAACCCGCAAGACTACATTAGATTGAATGTCAACAATCAGGGCCTCATAACTCCATGTTCATTCTCAATCACTGCGCCTGGTTCGCCTAGTGTTGGAAAATCTGCGCCCAGCGTGCCTAAGCCCTAGTCTTACTTCACAAGAGGCACATGTCGCCAACTGCATCTCGCCCAGCAGCATAGACGCCTTACTAGGAGTGCCCAGCGCTATAAACGCCTCACCGCTAGCACTCGCCACCTAGAACATTTCGCCTAGCACCACATGTGCCCCTCCAACAGCTCCCAGCACCATGCACTCCCCTCCAGCAGTGTCCAGTGCCATGGGCACCCCCCAGCTACGATTGATGCCATAGGCACCCCTCTAGTAGCGACCAGCGCTATGGACATCTCTCTAGTTGTGGTCGGCAAAATGGGCGCCCTCCAACAGCGACCAGTACCATAAGTGCCCTTCCAGCAACGCCTAGTGCCATGGTTGCCCCTCCAGCAGCACCCGGCCTTATATGCGCCTCTTCAGCGCAACCCAACACCACAAAACACCACTCTATCAGCGCCCCTCCGGCTCACCCAGACAACGCAGCATCCCATCCTGTCATCCCAGCCAACACAACTACCTCTTCTGTGCGCCCAGCCAGTGTATCAACCCCTCATGCGAGCCCAACAAGCACAATCGTCTCTCCTACGCGCTCGGACAACTCGCTCTGCGACCCCACATCAGCGCCGCCTTTTCTCTGGCACCCATAGCTGGCTTGACCAGGACCTCCACGCTGCCATAACCCCTGGCAGCCCCGCTGCCTACCTCTGTGCTAGATGCTCCATCGCTATGGAAGCTACGAAACCTTCGAATCTTCTCTTTTTCACTCGACATTAAATTCTGAGAACTCATCTGAGGAACAAAACCTCTAACCTTGGTCATCAAGTATCTCAAGAAGGAACTCTCTCTCAAAATTGTATGAAATGGGTGGAATGGAAAAAGGGGAAAAGTCCCTACTTGAAACCAAGGGTTCTTCAAGAATCCAAATAAAAATGGGAAAGGTCTTGAGGTGTTCTATAGAGAAGAAGGGGAAGAGTCATTAGTCAAAAGGAGTCTCCGCGAACCGAAATTTGATGTTCAACCAAATGGCCCCTTCTCCAAGTTTCATTGGTCACAAGGCATTGGAGGGCAAATGATGGACCAGACCCAATGACCCCAACTTATGCTACAAGCCCAATTTAAATTAAGAGCCCAACTTATAAAGATCCAATATTTAGCTCAAAGGGTTCCACGCCCGATTAAGCTCGCCAAGGGAGCAAGCAGGGTCATTCGAGTGCCTTATCTGCACCGCCTTAGAAAGAGTCAACCCTCACGTCATCCATTGAGGAGAAGGCACCAACTCCACCAAATTAGTCACTTAGTTACTAATAAATTGTCTCAATCTGTTATGAGGCAACTATAAATTGTAAACCCCGCCAACACTTGGGGGGCATCGCATTCAGTTGAGCATATTTCTCCAATCTCTCTTAGGTTGTAACTATATGTTATCTCTACACACTTGAAGTAATAAAATACTCCAGTAATCCTAGCCATTTAAAGTTGACGTAGGTTACGTTGACCAGACCCCTATAAATCCTTATATTACTTTTGTCTCTTTCTCTCACTTCTTAATTACTACATTTATTACTGCTCATCTGATAGGTGGTGTACAAACTCAATTTGCGTATCATCAATATTAAATTAGAATAATATTTGTAAACTATAATCATCATTTTAAGATTTTATAATTAATATATATTAAATAATTAAATGAAATTTTATTTATATTAAATTTTTATAGGTGAATGTGTGTCTATATACATATAATATAACACTCTCATGATACTTCGACTTTCATTTTTTTTTTAAATGTGGACGTTTTTATGTTGTCGCTCTCATTCTCGTTCCTACTCATGTCATCCCAATCATTGAAGGAACTACATTGGGCTAAGGGCCATAACTCTCTCAAATTTTCAAAAATACCTCAAGGGTTTTCTAAAAGTCTTATACTTTTTTAAAAAGATTTACAATTTTTTATGTTTTTATAATTTTTTTTGTATATATAGTATAATTTTTTGAGAGTGACTTTAAACCTTTGAATCAATTCTCTTGAACTAATTTAAGTCCTTATAATGCTTTTATGGATTTATAATTCAAATTGATAACTGCCATGTTATGTAAATTTGAAATCATGTGCAAGACTTTTTATGTGACTTTATCAGTTGACAAAATGTCAAGTCAAACGTTTAAGTTTTAAATATTTTGAAAATTAAAAGTATTCAAATAACAGGCCATGTAATATAATGTTTATTGTATTTAAATATTAAAAATCATGTGCAAGGCATTCTAGCGGTCGATCAATTTATATCTATGGTCCAATCAATAACTCCGCACACATGAGATTTCTAATATTTAAACACTATAAATAGTGTATTATAGGGCCTTCTCCATATTTGAATATTTTAAATTTCAAAATGTTTAAAACTTAAATGGTTCACTTTACATTTGGCCGCCCCATTAATGGTAACTTTTAGCAACAATAAAATATTGTTATTGTTATTTTTAACTAACTTAATGATTAATACTTATAAACAATTGAATAAATATTCTAATTTCAAAAGTTTTGTATTTTGAAATAATTATAGTAAATTTACAACAATCCCCCACATATATTTCAAAATACAAATAAGATTAAAAAAAATCGATTTGGGAACATAAATATCTAATGCATTGTGAGGAAGTCTTTTAGAATAAATAAGACTGAACTTACAGAAACTCAGTGAAATTTAAAATTTTTGTGAACTATATTTTCTTTAATGTAAACTGATTGTACGTATCACCCTTATTAAATTCTCTAATTTGAGTTTGTTCATTGCAATGTTAGTGCAAATAATTCATACACTCTATCTGAATATTCATAGATGTTCTAAAAAACTTGTCCAAGCTCTAATAGGAAGCAGCCCCACTTGCACATTTATATAGGTGTATCCATCAAGTGAATACTGCAACTAGAAACACTATCTAATCTAGGCTATGGATCCTTTAAGAGTTAAACTCAGCCTTATACTTTGTGATTTTCACTATATACACCATAAGGATAGAATCTATATATTAATAAAAATTATGATAGTAGTGACTTGTTTTTCCCCATATAAACTAACTTCAAAGGATCTCCATTCATATAAGTTGGGTTACCATCACTTGCAATTTTTGTATAGGCATAAGTTCAATCCCCCGCGATGTATCATCCACTAGTCTTTTCCCTTGTGGTTTTGTTCGAGGATATGCCAAATTTATCTCTGAACTCCCAAAATCTTGTAATATTATCCTATCATTAAGCAGTTGCCTCACAATATTATGTTTTAAGCATATATGCTTATTTTTACCATTATTGGTCTTATTATTTGATCTTGCTATTGCAACTTGGCAATCACAATGCATAGACACGGACGAAATTGATCTCATCCATAAAAAAGATATGCGCCAAGAAATTTTTTAACCACTCAATCTCAGTGTCAACCTTCTCTAAGCTAATAAACTTGAACTCTATAGTAGACCGAGATGCACACGTTTGTTTGAAAGATTTCCAAGACACTGCACCCCTACCAAGGGTGAGCAAATAACCATTTGTGAATTTTATCTCTTCTAAATTAGAGATCCAATTAGTATCGCTTTACCCTTCTAGTATATCAAAAAGTCCACTATATGATAAACCATAATTAAAAGTCTCTTTCAAGTATTTCAACAATTTAGATATAACATTCTAATGTTCTTTATTGGGGCAAATGTGTGTATCTACTTAACCTAACAATTGCATATGAAATGCCAAAACGTGTATAAATTATAACATATATTAAACTTTCAATTATTTGAGTATAATCATTTTGACACATAGAATCACTTTAATGTTTCTTTAATGTAACGCTAGCATCATAGGATGTAGAAAATTAAGTTTATGATCAAAATGATTAAATTTTCTAAGAATCTTATCCACGTAGTGTTCTTGAGATGACGTCACACCATTAGGAGTTCTCAAAATCTTAATTCCTAAAATTATATTTACCTCCCCCATATCTTTTATGTCAAACTTAGACATCAAGAATTTTTTAGTATTAGTAACAATCTCTGAACTTGTTCTCATTATTAACATATCATCAATATACAAACAAATAATTAACATCTTTGATTACAAGCAAAACCGTTTTCACATTCATTTGATGAATTACTAACCTTTATATAGAAGCTATAGCAATCAAAACCCTAATTAATGTTATTCTTGTAATTGGATAATAAGTATCAAAATAATCAACATCTTTCTTTTTCTTGTAATCTTTAGCTACTATTCAAGGTTTTGTATTTATCAATTGTGTCATTGGTTTTTAATTTTCTTTTAAAAATTCATTTGCACTCAATAGGTTTTGCACTAGGAGCTAACTCTACTAATTTTCATGTATGATTGGACATTAACAATTAGAAATGTGAAAAACTTATCTCCTAAGTTAGTCTATTCCTTACTCTTTTATTCTTTCTTGGTTCAAGTATTTCTTCCCAGAAAGTATCATCTTTGGGTTCATTACTAACATGAATTAATTTTCTCGTATTTGATACTCTATTTTCCATAGTAAAAATATTGTCGAAGAATATAGAATTTTTCATCTCAATGATTGTGTTAGGTTCTAAACTATTATGCTCACTTCTAATCACTAGAAACCTATATGTCGTACTATTACTCGAATAGCCTATAAATATATAATCTGAAGTTTTAGAACCCAATTTTCTGTTCTTTGAATGCCCTATCCAAAATTTATAAGGACTTTTTTCTATTTTATTATGTGGAATTCTATTTTGAATATGACATACTGATAAAATTGCTTCTCTCCATAAATTATCCAGCAATCCTGAACTTATTAATATAGAATTTATCATTTTCTTTAAAGCCCTATTTTCCCTTTCGACTACGCCATTGGATTCGGTTGAGTATGGAGGGGTAACATCATGCATAATGTCTTGTTGTTCACAATAGTCATTAAAAGTATTAGATTTGTATTCCCCCCCCCCATTGGTTCTCGACCTCTTTAATTTTCTATTCAATTGATTTTTTACTTTTAATTTATACTTGATAAATATTTCACTAGCTTCATCCTTATTTCTAAGCAAATATAATTGGGTATACCTCAAGAAACCATCAATAAAAGTAAGACAATATCTTTTTTTACCTCTTGTCATGGTATTCCTAAGTTCGCCTATATCACTATGTATCAAATTAATTAAATCGATTTCTCTTTCAACCCTCCAAGTAGATTTTTTAGTGATTTTAGATTCAACACAAACTTCACATTTATCAACATTCAAATATATGAACAATTAGACATAAAACCTAATTCTCTCATCTTCTTAATATGGAAGCTACAACTATTTTGGATGTGACAAAAATTGAGCCTTTCAATGGGCTTAATTTTCAGTGTTAACAACCAAGAATTCTGATGTTATTAAACATTGCATGTGTTGTCTTTGTTTTGACTAATTTAAAACCCAAAGAAGACACATAAAATTATGAGAAGGAAAAAGAAAAATAGAAAAAGGCTCATAAGATTTTTTCGAAATATTATCTTAAATGCTATTTCATCTAATCTGTTTGATGTTTACTATAATGACAAACATGATAATGAGATTTGAGATAATTAGTCAAAAAGTATATCGTCGAAGATACAGAGATTAAAAAGTATGTCATAGAAAATTTCTCATACTATAAAATGGTTGAGGAGAAAGATGTGTCTTCTCAAATAATTGTTAACGAGTCAAGGAAAGAAAGAATTTCTTTACCTAAATCATTCGTAGGTATTTTTACGGATAGAAAGGAGGAAAGAAACAAA